CACAACACCTGCTGGCCCCGCCCTGTGGTAAAAACCTTAAACAAAACAAAACAAAAAAGATTACCTTTATGAGACCTCTTCATTTTTAAAAAGAATTCTTTTATTTTTAATTGCTATTTTTAAAATTTGACCCTAGAGAGAAAGAGGGAAAGTGAGAAAGCAAGCTGCCAGGTCTAGGACTCAAACTGTGGTCAACCACATGGGAAGTTCAGCACCTTAACCACCATGCCACCTGCCGACCCCAAAAGACATCTTCATTTTAAAAATTCAACTGGAAGGGCCGGCAGGAGGTGTGGTGCTGGACTCTCACATGGTCAGCCATGGTTCAAGTCCCAGACCTGGCGGCTTGCTTTCTCACTTTCCCTCTCTCTTTCTCTCTGTCTCTCACTCTGTCCCTCTCTGTTCCAATTAAAATAAATAAATAAATAAACAAATAAAGTTAAATAAAATAATTCTTTTTTAAAAAATTCAACTGGATATTTGATAATATTAAGGAATTATTTTTATTTTTTTTGGGGGGGGAGGTAATATTAAGGAATTATTTTTATTTTTTTGGGGGGGGGAGGTAGTTTTTGCTATCGGGCGCATGCGCTCACCAGAAAAACAGAGGAAGACAGAGAGACAGAAAGGGAGAAATCACCCACCAAGGGGGATGGTCACGCCGCAATCCCTTCTCCTCCATTCTCCTCCCAGGATCTTGGGCACGCACACACACGCACCTGGTGTGAATTTAAGCCACCGGGTCCAGGACCTGAACTGTGGTTGACTACATGAGAGTCCAGCGACATAGCCATTACACCAACTGCTGGCCCTGATTTTTAATTATTTTAATAATTATTTTATTTAACTTTACTTTTAAAAATTTGATCAGAGAGGGACAAAGAGTACACCCACTTTAAAAAATTTTTTTCTTTGAATTATTTATTTAATTTTATTAATTATTATTATTTTAAAATTTGCTATAGGGCATATGCACCCACCAGAGAGAGACAGAGAGAGAGGGGGAAAGTGAGAAAGTAAGTAACAGTCAGCCATGTGGGAGTCCAGCACCTTAACCACCATGACACCTGCTGACCCAAAAGTACATCCACTTTGCACTTCAAAGGGACTCAGAGCTTCCTTGAAGCCAGCTCTTCTTCTTTTTAAAGTTTATTATTTATCCCATGAGAGAGAGGGGCGCCTCCACAGGTCTGTCCATGCTGCAATCCCTTGCTCCAGGGCTCCAGCCCACTGGATCGCAGGCACTCATCATGTGACTGGCATGTCTCAGGCTGGCCAGACTGGGGACTCGAACTGGGCTCACCACGTGGATTCAGTTTCCCCAAGCAGTGCATTACCGCTGTGCTACGGAGCCAGCTCCTCAGAAGGTCCCAGCAGGATCAAGCTCCCACTGCCCACAGCAGTGAATGAGAAAAGGCGCTCCTGTTTGGGTTTCCAGCTCCCTCAGTCTCCCACGCCTGCTCGCTGGTCACTTCAAATTAACCACCTGCTCACAGGCTCTCGCCTCGAGGTCTGCTTTTGAAGGGACCCAGGCACGGACACTCACAGGAGGGCTGCGGCTCCTCTGGAGGAGTTTCCCGAGAAGGAAACGACTCTCCTCCGGGCGTTACTACAGACGGAACCAGTCCCTGTACACGCAAATTCCTGCGCGAGGTCCTCATCCCCGCTGCACGGAGGAGGCAGGGCCTTTGGGAGCTGGTTAGGTCAGGAGGATGGAGCCCTCATAAATGAAATTAGTGTCTTTATGAAAGAGAGCTCGCTGGGGCCAGCAGGTGGCATGGTGGTTAAGAGCGCTGGAATCCCACATGGCCGACTGTGGTTCGAGTCCCAGACCTGGTGGTTTGCTGTCTTCCTTTCCTTCTCTCTCTCTCTTGCCCCCACCTGGTCAAATTAAAATGAATGAAGTTAAATAAAATAATTCTTAAAAAAGAAAAAAGAGACCGCTCTCCCTCTTCATGCCATGGGAGGGTAGGAGAAGACAGCAGTCTGGGAGAGGGACCTGGCCTTTTCCTCGGTCTCTGTCTCTCTTATGTGCACACATACTCTATCATGAATAAGGAAAAATAGAGAGAGCCAGCCCCATAGCCTAGTGGGTAAGGGAGCTGGATCCCACATGGTCGACTGCAGTTCAAATCCTGGCCCCTGGGGCTTGAAAAACATGCTGGGCACATGAGCATGCACGCCCCAGATCCCACCAGGATGGAGAAACGGGGGGACTGTGGAGTGAGGCGCCCCACTGAGGGGTGCTCTCTTCCTCTCTCTGTTTCTGACAAATGTGCGTGCCCTTCAGTAATTAAAATAAAGAATGTGCCCAGAACTGTCTACCCAAGAGACAGAAGAAGATAGTACCTGCCTTCCTGGTTTTATCTTCCGTGGTGACGGGTGGTCTCAAGCAGTGTCATCCTCCACCTGCTTCAAGGCTACACGTGCAGCGAGGGCCGAGCCGCTTCCTGACGATGAGCAAGAGTGACTGAAGCTGGGAGCGCCCAGTACTCACACCTGAGCAGGGCTGGCTGCTGCGACAGGGCAGGAGTCAGGGCTGTCAGACGGTGCGAGAGGCTCGCCATGCAGAGCAGGTTGCTTTTCTTTTCTTTCTTTCTTTCTTTCTTTTTTGAAAGGTTTTTGCTATAGGGTGCATACACTCACCAGAGATATATATATATAGAGAGAGAGAAATCACCCCCCAGGGGGAATGGCCACACCGCAATCCCTTCTCCTCCATTCTCCTCTCGGGATCTTGGGCACGCACGCACACGCGCCCAGCATGAGTTTTAAGCCACCGGGTCCGGGACGCAAACTGCGGTTGACTACATGGGAGTCCAGTGACACAGCCATTACGCTAACTGCTGGTCCCTCTAATGGGGATCTTAACCCCTAGCAACCTGTTCCCTCCATAGGGCCATGCTGATGTGAAGTACCTCACACATACGGTGAGCACACATGTGAGAGCTGTCATTTGTAAGTACTAGTTCTCTGACATCCTGCCATTCAAAGGGGAGGGCTTTCTCGGGCACCAGGCACACGGGCTCTTCTCTGCACCCATGGGCGCCTACACACCCAGTTCCAACTGCGACACGTGGTGGGAGCCAGTGAGCTTGGCCCTCACCATCTAGCAGCTAGTGGCTGAATCGAGCTGGAAGGTACGTCCCCCTGGGAATGACACCCACCTGCACCCTGAGGGTCCTGCTCCCTGAACTAGGCAGGCGGGCCCGAGCCTGGCAGGAGGGACAGTGCATGCCTGCGCTGCACCCTGCCCAGAGCTGGGTGGGAAGGTGTGGACTGAGCATCTGGAAAACCGGGGCCTGGGTCGGGCGAGGCCAATATGCTGTTTATTCTCACGACCATCCGCTGTGGGCCCCGGCAGGAGACCAGGCTTCTCAGTAAGTCATGTTGCTTCAAATGCTGTCTGAGAACCCAGAGAGCCAGCTGGAGCCCTGAAGATGACAGGACCCAGGCTGGACTGCCACACCCAGCTCAGTGCCTTCTGGCCCTGGAACAGACAGCTCCTTTCGCCTCCCTCCGAGGGTAGGGCTCTGACCTTGACCTCAGGGAACAACCAACAGCAGGCCTG